TTATATTGAAAAAATATCTTATAGGCTGTTTTATTTACTTCATTGATTTTACAGCATTGTGACTCACAGAGGTTCTGCTTGATTCTCAAGGAAAAACCAGTTTAGTTGCTCACAAATTAATTTGCCTCACAAGTGCCTAGACTTTCGCTTTCAATTTCTTTAATTTATTTTTGTCGTTTAGCTGTGGCTCAGTTCCAATTACACAAAGCCCAGGCCAAAACCAAAACCGTTGGACTAACAATTAACATTTACATTTCAATTGCAAGCGTGCCAGCTGCGGCTTTTGATCATTTTCTGGGGAGGGGGAATGAATCTGGTCATCAAATCATTGAAATTCCAAAAGCCACGCGGTACGATAATAAAATGTGACCGCAGTGCAAATCGCTCGGAGTAACAAATGCAGAAGTCAACACGCTCCGCAACCATTTCATATGCCAATGTTTTTATAGCTCCTCCACGCCGATTTGTTTATAATTTTTATTTTGTGAATGACCAACCGTTTATACTAGAGGTCTGCTGACGTAAAAACATTTTGTAGTGAATGTATTTGAGGTGAAAACAAAACTGAGGAGATACAGATTTTATTGTGGCAAATATATAATTGCAACAAAGGTCAGAGATCTAATAAAAACAAATTTATTATGCAAATGGAAATTTCTCTATCACAGAGACACATTTTCGTTCTTGAGAGCTCGCTTAAATGACTCATAAACAGTTGAGCTTTAACCCTTGATCAGTGAAAAAACTTGTTTTCAAATATATTAGTCATAGTAAAGGAACTATCTATTAATTGTAAAACAGAAAGATAATAAAAATCTTTCAAAGCATTAGAAAAATGTATATACATCAAGTACATATAATAGACATCTGTTAGTTTCTAAACAAGTTTTCCACTCCATATTTACCCTCCCCGATTAGGCCAACCTTCCTGCAACCTTGTGTCGCTTGAATTGAAACTATGTATATCTCTATCCCATATATGAATGAATCCATCACATTGAACTGCCTTTTATCAGCCTAAGCACTGCGTTTTGAATTACTTCTGATCTAAGCGTTTCACCATGCATCATTTTGCATTTGCATTTTGTAATTGAAGCTTCTTTTTCCCAACCCCTTCCTGCTCATCAGCTACCTCATCGGTTACTAAGAGTGTGTGATGTAAGCACATATTCACTTACCGCCAGCAGCAAACAGCACCAGATAAATATTGCATTGTTGCACTTGCTGTTGCTGTTCCAGCTAGCGCTGTTGTTTCGCGGGGTTTATTAAAATGCGGTTTTCAGCACCGTCGCACAATGCTTAAATAACTAACGCAAACACATCATGAGAGCCGAGACGGGACAACAACATCACCGGAGACAACAGCGATGAACTCAATGACAACAACGGTGTTGGGTTCGGTATTTTGCATACACCACACATAGAAAAAACCAGTCCCAATAGACGAGTTTATTTATCAAAATATTTACGTTTATAAGAAATCACAGGAACAGTCAAAGAGTAACAATTTCTGTGCAGCTTTTCTCCAAGATGTTGTTATACAAAGAATTATCATCCTTCTATTTTTAAAACGATATATAATTTGGAATTTTGTTGAATTTTTTCTGTTACTTATGATTGGAGAAAAATAATAATAAATTTCTTTTTTTGGTTCTGATAAGAGTAAAGTTCTTTAAATACTTATATGCGAATGAGAAATTCCAGCGATACGATGTATAAATAAAATTGGTCATCATATTTTAAATAAAACATTACTCCCTGAACGACCTGTTTCCCTAACACTTTGTGTATAAACATTTTTCAAAAATATTTATTTTAGGGTTATCTTTGGCGTCTTTAGTTCTAATATTTCGATAATTGTTAACAAACTTAAAGATTATTTTCTTTATATTGTATTTATTTGAATATCAGGTCTTTTCAAAATATATTGACGGTTGTACATGATTTATTTTTTTCTACAGAAAGTGATACTCTTTCTTGCAGTGCATCGGCAAAAAGTGATGTAAACAAAAATCAAACACAAACCATGAGTCACCAGAGTTGCCGAGGAAGCGAAAGCCCTCGGCATGGGGCTCGAAACTGGAGTCAGAAAGCGGTGTAGTTTTATGATTCAGTTCCAGGTTGCCTTGCACTAGGAAGTGCAGCATAAATCAGAGAGAAAAAGGCAGTCTCTCCACTACGTGCCAATCAAAATCAAACCTCGTGTGATGCAGTGCTCGAAAAATGCATGACAACGAATTCAACTGACAAATGGCCGCACACAAGGCCGACAAGTGCCCGTTCCCCCAGCCATATAGGCCTGTACCCACACTACCAGTATCCAATCCCCCTCAGGCCTCAATCTTTGCGTGTGTCACTGCAGCAGCACTCGATATTTCTGTATGTACCGTGGTGTACTTGCAGTGGGGGATGGATTCAGTGGCCTCGACAATAGACTGGCAGGCAGACTCCTGGACGGGATGGGATGGGAATGGGGATGGTATGGGATGCCATGGCCTACCACAATCGCCAGTGACATTGAACCCGGCGACTGGGGCGCCTTTTGTGCCATGCATACCATCACGGAAAGGGTCTTAAAATCCTTTCACACTTGGGGATGGTGCAAAATGCACATTAAATATTTTACACATATGGGGTTTTTTGCGTGAAGTGAAAATATCATAGCATTTTCAAGTTTTCTAGACCCTGAAAAAGAAATTGAAGTACTTAGAAATTTGTACAAAATATATAGAAACTTTATAAATGTGTTGATACTTTCACCCACAAGTTGGATTACTTACACCTAATTTCCAAATTTCCATTCAAGTCAAATTTCAATCAATTTTAATAATACTATCTTTCTTATATACATATCTGTTAACTCCACTCAAGACTTGTGATTATGAGAGGTCGAATCGCTCAAATAAACCTATCCAGGACTAACATCATTTAAGTAAAGCGTTCTATCGTGCTCTAGATAACTTTGCCCTCCGAATAACTTTAGTAAGCTCCCAGCTTATGTCATACCATCGAAGTTTACCGTCACAATTCGCACTCGCATCTGTGGAAGAATCCAAGAGGCACAGTAAATCAACCCCTAGCCAGCGAATTTAGTTTGGTCGGCCCGTCGAGCAATGCACTCTTTGTAGGTCAGTGATGGGGTGGCATGGGTGGCTATATGTTCCATGTGTTCCAAGGGTCTTTGGTGGCGTTTGGCGCTTCTGCACTTGCTTTCGTCATGCGTCGCGTGCCAGCCGTTTTGCTTAATGTGATTAAGACAAAGCGACAGCAAACCAAAACGAAGTGCATTCGCTGTTGGAACAGGAAAAAAATCAAAGCGACCCGGGTTTTTTGCACCCTTTTTAGCCGGTTAAAAAGTGGAAAAAGGCTTTTCGTGTTCTTTTACACGGGGCGAAATGGATGTCAAACATGCTAATATCTGTGGCACTCTGAAAAATATTGTCATTGAGTCTATCTGTTTAGATAGTAAACAATGTCTTATTAACAAGGATAAAAATGTAGTCCCTAAAAATCAGACTTTTTAGGCAATACAAAAGAAACTCTTTCCAAGTATTTGTAATCTACAATACCAATAAGAAAGTATACAGTTGAGAGCTCTCAATGTTATTTCTAAGATTTTTCAGTAAGTATAAATATTTTTAATCATATATGGATTCGTTTTCATATTTTATTTGATTTGCTTTTATCGGTGGATCTCCAATTTTATATGTATTTCAGTGAGACAATAACGAATTTGTCCTTAGTATAAAATATTTCGTATGTCGTCGTTGAAAAATATTAAAAATTGTTCCTGAAAGTCTTTACAAAACCGCAAATTTAGCAACGATTAAATTTCTATTGGTGGCAACTGCAAGCCCATATTTTTTCTGTGTACTTCTAGGCCGTAAGATATACCCATATCTTGGCAAATGCAATTTTGCAAACACACAATCATTAGGCGCAAATATCATGGTGAAAATGGTGGTGCGATAAGATAATTGCTTATATGGAACAGGCACCGAAGGGGTCTGAATATTCCATAAATTACCGAATTTCCAGGCGCCATGGGAATAGGCGAAATGGAATTGATAAGCACCTCGATAAGGAGCAATACTTATTCGGGATTTGGAGTACTGAATACTGAATGCACTCAGTATAAACTTAAAAAACGGGTTGAATTTACAAACAAACAAACAAACTCACCTTGAAGCGGGTTTCTGATTTCGACGGGGGCTTTTGCTTCTGCGAATGAAATTCTCGGATCTCTGGGTTATTGGCTGTCTTTAGTGTGCAGCAGGTGCTTTGATTGTCGTCGCTTTGGGAAGATATAACAGCATAGCAGGCGATTCCTTTTGTTTTTAATCTTGTTCTTAATCCGTGTCCGAATCCCAATTTTATAATCCGCGCGCTGGTTCCGTCGATCGTTTTTCGAGTGCACAGGTGTTGTACGTGGTATGTTGCATGTGGTGTGTGCTGCGTGTTCTGTGCCCCGCGGGGAAGTCCCTCCCACTATTCCTAGCAGCTGTAGAAATGTGTAAAAGTCTGGCTAAATGCCTAAAAGACGTAAGGCGACGAGCAAAATTTGACTGATTTTCATTTTTACACAAACACACGCACACTGAGACGGCACACTCTCACTCACTCACGCACACGCACACATACTGCCAGATGGGCTGCTTTGCGATTTTGTGCGATTTCCAGGCTCTGCAAGTGTATCCAGTGCTTTCCGAAACACCTATTTCCCTCCACTCGGCCGCCTAGCGCTGCAGCATTGTTTATTTTCGTTGGTTTATCAGGATTTTCCTCGCAATCGTTGAGAAAACAATTTATTGTGCTTAGAGGTGGCGAAACATCGATGGCAACACGATGTCATCGAAACATCGATAACATATCTTACACACACGGTCACACTAATGGGCCGAGGTGTGTGTCTTAGCTAACCTAGCGAAGACACGCTTTTCGAATGGCTGTGGTATATTTTTGGTATTTTCAAAAGGGTCTATTTGGTATTTTGATCTAAATCGTGAAATGTTTAAACACCCCAGCCCTGGCATAAAATTCAAAACATGTTGGCGTCGTCTGTCCGGATTTCTTGAAAGGAATTGGATAACTGAGATCATGGCCAGCAAAGTAGAGATGCAGTACAAGCTTCTGAACTCCGAGCTGATGGAGCAGGTGCAAAAGCAGCGCCTGGAGATCGGCGAGTACCGGAAGCGGGTGATAACGCTGGAGCGCGAAAACATGGATCTGCGGGAAGAGCACATTCTGGAGAAGGATCGCCAGCGGCTGGAGAACATCGGCATCGTGCGGAGTCTTATGCAGCGCCTGAATGTGAACACCGAGTGCCTGGAGTCCGGGGTGACCCAGGAGCCGGCTCCCGTGGTCAGCAGACCAACTGGCCCGCGTCGCAGCTCCAGGGAGATCTGCGAGGACATTCGACGCACTTGCGCCTTGGCTCGCACCACCAGAACCACCTCCCCCAGGAGATCAATCACGTCGATCAGTACCATTCGCTCCAGTCGCCGTTCCAGCGCAGAGGTTGTCCCCGAAGTGGAGGCCACAAAGGTGGCAGAGAAAAGGAGAGCCATGAACACACCTCCGCCTCCTCGAAGACCAGCGGAGTTGCTGTTCGATGAGGACGAATCGGACGAGGAAAGTGAAGTCACCAGTGCTGACCAAAACCAGGAGCCGCTGGCTGACCAGAACCAGGAGAACAAGCTGCTATTCAGCATAATTGAGGAAAACGACAGCGAGACGGAGACCACAGACTCGTCCTCATCCTGCGAGGCCATCTACTGTGACACCACTATAGAAAGCAGTCCCACGAATGTCCAAGCTACCGCCCCTCCCTGTGGCCGGGCTCTACGGGAAGTGGACACCAATGTCCAAGAGGCAGTGGGGTTGAGGCGGGGAAAAGAGCCTGTGAAATCCAGGCTGGCTGTTCATGGTACTGAAGAGAATAACGTTCAGGAGTCGAGTGCGCAGCTCACCACGCGGACTGTTCCCGACTCTGAAGAGGATTCCTTACATGAGCCGGTCATACAGCGCTCTAGACGGGCTGCCGCTAGACTCAAACACTCGTCTGTTCGCGACGCTGAAGGAAATTCCCTACAGGAGCCAAGTATACAGCAAACTAGAAGAGCTGCCACTAAACCCAAAAACTCTTCTGTTCCCAACGTTGAAGGGACCTCTATATATGAGCCAAGTATACAGCGCTCCCGACGGTCTGTCACAAGACTTAAACACTCGGCTGTTCACGCAGCTGAAGAGGACTCCGTAATGGAGCCGAGCATACAGTATGCCAGACTGGCAGTCACTAGGCCTAGTCACTCTTCTGGCATCTTTCCCGATGTCAACGGAAACACACCGCGGCGGAGCATGTTCAATGGTATTGGCCAAGTGGCCGGTAGCACCAGCACTCCCATTGCAGCTAGACACAGAACTACAGCGCCAAAGAAATCGGATCAAATGGATATGTCCAGTTCTTGTTTCAGCTCTAGCGGTCGACCGAGTCGAAGCTGCAGGCCAACCAGTTTAGTGGAGCCCAGTCTTAGGAAGAAGTTACGCAACGAATCTAAAGGCGAGGCCAAGAAGTAAACATCACGATTGTTTTTTGTTAATATTATTGTCTCATATTTTAATCCCATTTTGTACAATTTCATATTTTAAAAGCGTGAGATCACGTTATTTTAAAAGTCGATACTTCATTTTATTTATAACCGAATAGCAAACATCAGACTGTTATTCGCTTGTAAAAGCGGACAAACTCTCATCATCCAGAGATCGGAAGGAAGATTCATCATCATCATCCAAAGATGCCAATAGGATTTTATATTTGTACGTCTTAATGTTACCCTTAAAATACTTTTGTGAATAAAACAACTTTCAAGTTGATTGTTTTGTAATACAGTTTTGGGGCTAAGATTCGTCTTAGTTGCAAACTAGGTTTATTCGGACACATCGTTGGAAACATATACAAAAGACTCTGGGGACCAAAGTACAATTACAATTAAATACAGTAGTAAAAGGTTAATGATTTTACGTAAGCAGACGATAATTGCACTTTGCGAGCAAGCTACAGATTCGATCTTCTAGACCACCTCGAACTTGCCCAGGCAGCAGTTGAGATGGTCGCCTGCATGGTTGTGGGTCGGCTGCTCCGTGTTCTCCTTGATCTCGCTGATGATGTCCTGTATCTTGTTGATGATCTGCTGGGAGTTCTCGCCCTCGCTAGGCGCCTGCTGGTTATTTGTGGCCGCTTCTGCTTGCTGCGCCTGGCTGGGATCTGCAGGGAGCTCCACCCCCAGACTGACCACCAGCTTGTTTAGCGCCTCAATCTTCTCGCGCAACTGCTCCCGCTCCGCTTGCAAAAGTCGCATCTGGGCGGCCTTCTCGTACTCGCGCTGTTTCAGCATGCGCCGCTGTGTTTGGTAGAGGGCAATGTACTCGCCAATGGTCTCGGTCTCGCTCTGCAGCTGCAGCACCAGGTGCTCCAGGCTGTGTTTCTCCTCCGTCAGGTCGGCAACCTGACTGATCAGCGTGGTGAAGCGCGATTGCAGGCGTTCCACGGCCTCAGCGGTGGGCAGAGTTTTAGCTGCCGGTCTGTCGCCGTCGTGATTGTGGGCATGATCTTGCGGATGATCGTGGGAATGATCCTGGCCATGTCCATGTGAATGATCGTGGTCATGATCATGACAATTATCGTGGGAATGCTCATGTGAGTGGTTGTGCGAATGATCATGTGGGTGATCATGAGAATGATCGTGGGAATGATCATGTGAATGATCGTGTGAATGATCGTGTGAATGATCATGTGAATGATCGTGTGAATGATCATGTGAATGGGCATGATCATGATCCTTAGTTTCCGTAGCTTCATTTCTCGGGCCATCTCCTCCATCTTCTCTTTCTTTTCCCTCTTGGCTATGATACGCCTTGGCCTAGAAAAATAAAGAAATACTTTTAGCAACTTACATATTAGTTTATCTGCTCACACACACCTCATAGTGCCTCAGGCGGTCCAGCTGCTGCTGCATCATCAACTGCTGGCGCTGGAGTTCCACGTTCTCGTGAGACAAACGAATCATCTCCTCATCCTTGAACTTAAAGCGCTCCTCATTGGTGTGCAGCTTCTGCTCCATGCTGGTGTAGTTCTGGCGGATCTCGCGGTTGGCAAACTCCTCGGCGTCCAATCGGATCACCAGTTCGGCCTTGTCGTTCGTCAGTTGGACAAAACGCTGCTGCAGCTCGTCCAATTGGTTCTTCATTTCGACGTTCTGGGTTAGGGCTCGCGAGGCGGCCACTTTGTCCGACTCCATGGTGGCCAGCAGCTTGGTCTGATCCGGTTGCTCGGCCTGCAAGCGATCCAGCTGCTGCTCCAATTCGGCCAGAGCCGACTCCTTCATTTGCAGCTGGTCGTCCTGTGACTTGATCTTCAGCTGGAATTCGTGGCGCTCAAAGTCGAAGTCAGCGAGGCGCTCTTTTAGGGCAGCCAGTTCTTCTTTTAATGCGCTCTAAAATGGTTGAAGTAAAAGATTAAACTGCTTTTACAAGTTCTTTGAGACATTACCTGATCGCTGACGTCTTCCTTAGGCGGCTGCTCCTGGTTGGCCTCTTTAAACTGAGCCTGCAGGCTAAGGTTCTTCTGTATATCGCGCTCTAGACCTCCAACATGCTCCACCAGCTGTCGTTCCCGCTCCCTCAACGAGTTGAGCTCCTCGGCTAGTTCCGTGTTTCGTTCGTTGAGCTTGGCAATTTCTCCGCTCTGGTGCTGCACATAATTCTGGTATTGCCCCGCTGCCTGCTCTTTGTCGTGGGTAAGTTGACCCACCATGGCCTGGAGGTCGCGGATCTGCTGCTCGTACATGTATTGGGTCTGCACCAACGACTCCACTCGGTTGTCGGTACTGACGCTGGACTCGTCGGAAAGTTGTCGCAGCTTCAACTGGGCCATCTCCAGTTCGTTGGATTTGTGGGAGAGCTGTTGCTGCAGTTCCTCCTGGCGAAGGTTATTCTGCTTCAGCTGAGCCTCCAGTTCGTTAAGATGCGACTTTTGGTCCTTGATTTGTGCCTGCGACTGCTGCAGCTGAGCCTGGAGCTGCGCGAACTGCTGCCGCTGCTGCTCGCCCGTCGACTGCTGATCCTGGTAGTGCTGCTGCAGTTGCTCCAGACGCTGCTGATGCTGATCCTTCAGCGTGCGCAGCTCCTCCAGCTCCAGTTCGCGTTCCCGGCAGGCCAGACGAACCTTTGTGAGCTCCGCGTTGAGCTGGGCTTTCTCGGCGATGATCACCTGGATGGCCTGCAGATTGGAGGGATCAGCAGATAGTGCGCCATTATGTTCTGGTTCAGTGTGGGCGAAATAGGAGGCGACTGTGGGCTGGATCGACTGTTCCTGCTGCTGGAGCCCACCGGCTCCTCCGCCGTTCACATTTATCTCGCTGTCGGAGCGCTCGGAAAGATTACTGGCTATGCTGACCGTGGACGAGTGCGACTGCGTGGCGGTGGCCACCGGCTCCTCCGGCCCCGGGTGGCCATTGTTGTTGCTGGCGCGCTGCTGGTACTCCTTCAGCTGTGTCCACATAAGCGTGTTAAACAAAATCAATATTAGTAGGCCAATATGTGAGAGGTGTCCACGTCACAAGAGCAAAACAAATGTGAGTGGCCGTGGCTCCGCACCTTTTTCCTCGCCGCGGCCAGCTTCTGCGCCTTGGCGTCCTGCGTGTCATCGGGCATGTCCTGCGGGGTCACCTGGGTTCGAAAGGCGAGCCCGAAAATTTAAATAAAACAAGGCAAAACTGGCGACGAATTCCAAAATGATAACAGGTCTGAATAGTATGGTCGCAGGTGGAGAGTGGAAAGATACTGGGAGTGCGGGCACACTGCCGTGGAGCGGAGAACTTTAGCTTGAATTGGTGGTAATTGCAACGTAGGGGTTGTTTACTAAATAGTAGAAACAGGTTTTGCGCCTGTATTTAGCGTTAAAAGTTAATTTATTTAATGTCATGTCATGGCTATCCATATTATAGTTTCCGGCTTTTTGATCTGTTCTACAGTCATTTAGTTATAAGGCTGGCTCAACAGTAAGGAAATGTATTTTTTATTTCAATAGTACACTTTTTAAAAGTGCACAAGTGCACTATTGAGGTGTTTTTGGTGGCCCGGGAAAGTGAAGCCACCAGAAAAATATATTATTAAAACGCACGGCAAGAATCGTTAATTTAAACGGTGTCCTGTGGAGAAAGGATATTTTCCCTTTAAGCCGCCAACACTGTTGGTATTTTTGAGCGCGCCCCGAACGGTCCCACCACCAATTGTTGTTGTTTTTTGTTTTTATCGCGAGCTTAGTTAAGTGCATGTGCGCATTCGTGCAATTAATATTTTTAGGTAATCAAACGCCTCGTACTCCGCTCAGAATGTGCTAGAACGATGTGAGCACAGGGAAGAGTGCGACAAGTGCAGCCGAAGCATCAATTTAATTAGGATAAAGTGCAATATTTACACATATATAAACTAAAGTATAAGGACAACGGTTCGTTAAAAATAAACGGAGCGTAAGTATGCGTGCAGTGGCTGCACATACATGTGCATATATGCAGGTGAACGCACACCTGTGTGCGTTAGTTGGCGTTCTACGATTTGCAATTGTTTAATTCTTTCATGCAGTCGTGTACCTCCCCTGCAAATCTTTTGTGTTTCCCCGCCTTGCGAAGCCCCTGTGACGTGTGTGACTCAAACAATATTGCATATACAGTGTACAACCCATACAGACAGCCCCAAGTTCATTCACATTTATCTGTTGTTTATACTTTTGCATACTACACGCCTACATACTTATCTGCACATCTACTCCCCCCACTTAGTGACTCATCTTCTGTCTCTGTCTGCGCCGCTTATCTAACTGTGAAGTTAATTCAGTGGACAAATAGTGGTGGTCCGATCGGATCCGAATCTGAATCGAAACCGATTTGGATCTACGACATTGGGAGCACAGAACTGCAACCAGAATTGCCTTTTTGAGCGAGTGCACCACTCACGTATTCCGAGTATTTGGAGCTGATCACGTTCGTCTCCTTGGCGGATGGTTGTGAAATTACCGATCGCCAGTTGGAGCCTCTTTCTAGGGGTGGGGTGGATCTATCTGATCCATCTACCTTATCTGATTTCACCACTCGCTGGAGCGAGGATCTGCTGGCTATCGTTGGTAGACGGTGCTGCGTTCAAATTAAGTGGGTCAAGACCGCTTGGCGCCAAGAAAATCGCCATATATATCCGCAGACAGTCCGTTTCATAAGCATGTAGTATCACTATGCAGATCCTTTGCCATATGGCTGATACATTAAATATTTACTTTGGGATATGTCGTTCTGTCTGAAAGCTACATCCTAAAACTAACATTCTTTAACAAAGATACAAATTTGAACAGCCAAAAAAACGCTTGTCTACGACTTTTGATTTATCAAATTTTTTATTTGTGACTTTTATTAAAAATGCTTTCGTATAAAAGATTTGGGATGTTTCTTTTACATAGGTCCGAAATAAAAGGTTTTTAGGACTTCGAATTATTATTAATTTTGAGTTGAGAATTCGTATTATACGATTGTTTTTAAACAAGGAACTATTTTTCTTCGGAAAAATTACATATTTCAATACAATTTTTCAATTTATTGGTCGAGTAAGTGGGTTCTATCTCTAGTTTCAATAAAAAAACTTGATTAGAAATGAGAATTCGAATCAGGCGGAACTTATGTTGATGTACAATGTACATTGTACATTCATACGTAATTCCGCCCCAGTTCAGCGATTTTGTGGCCCCCCGTATATAAATACATTCTTATTAACTTTTACCAAATATGTTTATTTTGAAATTTAAATTTGTTTTTCTATTATCCAGAGCT